TTGTAACTAAATTTACACGTTTGACCAAAAAAATTAAGGAAGTGATTGATCGAATTTTTTAGAAGCAAGATTTTCAAGATTCTTTCTTATTATTGGTCAGATATATCCCCGTAGCATTTAAGAAAATCAATGTCATATTTTTAGGAATTAAGGTTTACACAATATCTTTCTCAACTAACATTATTTTTTTAATTTACTCGTAGCATTACATTATTACTGAAATTAACAACAGTTGTATTTAACTGTATGCTAAATCAATTTTTATATAAAAAAAATACTAATACAACACATTATATGGGTGCTTGTTAAAAAATTTATACTTAAAGTCTAAATAAAAGAATTTTTTTTATTTAAATTTTAAATACATTTAATAAATATTGCATTATTATGTTAATTAAAATGACACCCTTCGCTTGTACAATTTACCCGTTTTATAAATAAATTTTTATATGATATATAAATCTATTATTTTTCACATGTAATTTGTACGAGTTACCCGTCTTATGTATCATATAATAACTTTATAGAAATTATTAATTTAGTTTTATTATAAAATGAGTATATATATTTATTTTATAGATGCAATATTAATGTCAAACCAAATCTCGGTCAGCGATGATTAATTTGATATATCATATCTTAAAAGTCGATAACATATACAAAAGTCATTAACTTTTAAAACATATTTATAATTGAGAAGAAATAGCTATTTTCACCCCGCTCCGAAGACGGAATAAGTTTTTCACAACGACAAATAATAAGGTAACTTTTTTACCCCATAAACTACAAAACAAATTATGTGATAAGCTATGCGACAGATAGACGAAGATAACTTATAAAGTGCGAAATAGTTATGCGATAAACTGTGCGACAGACAGACGATCATAAATGATAATGTGCGAAATAATTATGCGTAAACTATGCGACAAACAGACGATAATTGATAAAGTGCGAAATAATCATGCAATACTATGCGACACACTGAAGATAAGTGCTCATGTGCGAAATAGTTATGCAAAGCTATGCGACAAACGGGTGAACATAATTGATAAAATATGAAACAAGCTAAGCTATATATAATGTGATTAATTTGATTTTAGTGAGGAGTGTTCTCGAAAAGAGTCTTTTGGCGTTTCATTTTATTTTTATGATTGTGGAGTCGAGAGTCTGTTCTCGATCTCAGTGAGCTTGAAAACTAATTCACTTTGAACTATTAGCTTAAGTGTTCGAGAGGAAGACTTAGAACAACTTGAGGGATTTGAGTTTTAAAATCCACAAGAGATTTGTGGTTAGAAAAGTAATGTAAATGAGTGATTACAATGTAGATAGTGAAGAGGGAGTCTCGTTGTAAATTCAAATTGTAATGCGTTAAATATTTACTTATATGAAAGAGTTCCGAATAGGAGGTGAGATGCTTCTCTGAAGGTTCATATTCTGTAGAACCCTGCTTCCGCAATTGGGTAAACTTACATCTGAGTTTACTGTGTTATATACTTAGGGCGATTCTGGTTTTATCTTCCCAAAATTTCACTAAAGATAAGAAACTCATCAGCTACGAAGAGTATTGACAAGTGATAAAAATATCCTAGGTAAAGGCAACCGACTTAAAATTCTATAAATAGAGTGTTGGAAAAATTTGTTGTGAATGAAATTATAACGTAATGGGTCACCTTAACATTTAACTAAGTATACAACTACAGTAAGAAGAAGAAGTTAAGGGCGTGCTTGTTTATAAAATATTTTATTCAAAATGAGTTATTTTAGTTAACTAGAGTTAATTTTGAAAAAGGTAGTATGGTTAATTGTTAGTGAGATTTTAATAATATATTAAAATAATATTTAAAATAAAAAGATTATTAATGATTTGATGTAAAAGTAGGATATAAATGATTGAAAATGATAGGTAGTTAAAATTATGTGAGTGGATGAATAGTGAATTAAAATTGATGTGATATGTAAGAATGATTGGTTTATAATATTTAATTATATAAATAATATAAATAATAGTGGTGTTGAGTTAAAATTGAGTTAGATTTTGAATGTGAAATGAATTATTTCATAAACAAGCATGCCCTAAGGTATATTCCATGCGGTCTTGCATATTTAATTATGCTAATGAAATTAGGTCGAGAATAATATGTCAAATTATTCATTTAAATGCATAGATTTCAAATATCTTAAATATTTTAAGAACCGGTGTCTGAAAGACTCGAACGGGGCCATGAACAGTCATGTATCGGCGGAGACAGATCTAGCTCATAAAATGAGTCGGGGCCTACTTGTTTGTAGAAAACAAATATAATACATCATAACAAAGTATAAATACAAAAATACACATTCTTAGAAATTCTTATGAGTTTTCATAACTTGGTATGACTCTACAATAAGGTCTTTACATTTTATTTCGACCTAACAATATTATAATTCACCTCGAGTATATTTGGACTAAACGTAGATAATTTTGAAATATTTTTACATGTACTTTTTTGTCAAGACCATTTATAAAAATATTTTTCCATAATTTGATATAAAAAAATAAATTATAATATATAAAATACTTTATCTAAAACATCAAACTTTTAAGAGCCCTACAAGTTATCACCCACACACTAATTTAATTTTTTAAATTTTATATCAAATCTAATAAAAAGAAGGATTATATTTACTTTCACCAGCAGTGATTTCTTTTCCCAGTTATCTCTTTTTTATTTTTTCACATTAGTTTTTATTTTCTACCTTTTTTTTTATTTAATAGAGTATTAAACTTTTTTGAGTAGGGTACATATAATAGTATTTTTTTTTCCATTGTGGGCCTAGACTCACATTGGGCGCTATAAGGCTACGCCCCTATGTATTGGCGACCTTGAACCCGCCTTTCGGGCTACAAAAACTTTATGAAACATATACCATATGAATTGCCTCGTCCTTGGGGTCATGCTGGTTAATTTCGATTTTGATTTCTAAGTGTCAGCATATAGATAATGCGTCAAATATAAGTAATTGCATGTGTTCATACGCTGCTCTACATCATACTAGTATCCATCCGTGCGATGCACGGGAAAATTTATTACCTACTTGTTTTTTAAAAGGTATTTTTGTATTTAAATTGTATTATGCCATTAAAAATATCATGAAAATGAAAACTATATATTATTGAACACTTCCTTATGTACAACGTTCTTGAGTCGATAAGGTTTGTTTGAAGACACATATTTTAAAGAGATAAACATAATAGATTTACTACCAAGCATGTTTATGGGATATACATGATTTTATTCATTGAATTGACACCAAAATATTCCATCTGAACTTATTTAACCAAAATACAAATAAATAAATAAATAAATGTAAAAAGAATAATCGGTGTTTCCTAATCGTGGAACAGATTGTTACCAAAAAAATTGAAGTGAATATTACCATCAAAATCTCACGGTCTTAAACAATAATATCTCACATGCTTTTTAAAATATATCACGTAAATGCACAGGCTTTTATTCATTAATAATTGATTTGTTTTGTGAAGAAAAATGAATCCACAATTTGATCTGAAATTATTTAACCAAAATATCGAACAATTTGGCATGCCAATTTATGTTCCGTAGAAATTTTATTGATAAAAATTTATTGTATATGTATTTGTCGTGTGAATTTTGTTGATATAAAATAAGAACATTTTATAGAGTAAAAGATAATGACAAATTATGTGATTCTATTTTATTGGGATTTTTCAAATTAAATTTTAAGTCAGATTTATGGATTGATACGTCTACAAACGAATTACTTGGACTGAATAACAAACCCAATTGCTATTATAAGGGGATATTCACGCCATTTAAAAAAATGATATGATATTGATCAAATATATAGTCTAATTTTATCTAAAATTTCATATTATTAGTTATTAGTTAACAAATTAGATTTTTCAAAAAAAAATAAAAAAAAAATTAAGAGATCATATTTAGTAAACAAAAAATTAGTAGAAAAAAGCAGAGATTTTTAAGGCCCATTTTATTTATATTTTTAATATTCTAATTCAAACATGTGATTAAGAAAAATTGAAAAGAATCATTAGTTTTTCCTAAAAATGAAACCGAAGTTTCCTACTAATACACCAATTTTTTTCATAAACAAATTGATCTTGATATTTGGTTAAAACAAAGTGAAAAGAATTATCAATTTTTTCAAAAAATGAAACCAAATTTTCCTACAAATACATCGATTTTTTTACCAAACAATTGATTTGAAAATTTGGATAAAACAAAGTGAAAAGAATCACTAATTTTTCCTTAAAAATGCAACTGAATTTTCCTAACATTGAACCGATCTTTTCACCAAACAAATTGAAATGAAATTAATTCTAATAAAAAATTAGAATAATTTGTTAAAATTTATGCAACTATTTTTTTTCCTGAAAAAATAATATGAACTTAACCAAAAAATTGATATGAACTTACCAAAATCTCGGTAAAACCTGGTCAATAAAAAACATAAGAATCCAAAAAAAATTGGTGCATTCAAATTTTAAAAGGATGTACACGATTTTGAAATTGATTTGAATTTTTTTCTTAAATAATTGAATAAAGTGTAACTTTAAATATTAGAGATGAACCGATTTTGTTACCAAAAAATATAGATACGATTTTGAATGTATATGTAAAGGTGGGTTAGGATTTTAGGATATCTCTTTGTTTAATGAAGCTCTTATTTGTAAGCAAGTGTGGAGAGTCACAATACAACCAGAATTGTTGGTTAGCAAAGTTTTGAAGAGTAACTACTTTCCATAATCCAATCTTTTGGAAGCTGAAAATAAGCACAATGCATCTTGGCTCTGGAGAAGTTGGCAAAAAAAGTAATCCCTTTGTTTGCCAAAGGACTCCAAGTGGTGATTAGAAATGAGAAAAATACCAAAATTGAAGATGTCAATTGGATTCCAACACTGGCTAATCAGAAAACAGGCCTTTTGGAGATTGCTAGGGGACATTTGATAGGTGAAAGATTTAATGAATGAGGAGGGGACTAGGTGGAATGACTGGCTTATCAAACAAGTCTTTAGAACTTTGGACAGTGAAGCAATTCTCAAGATCAGAACATTGAATCCCAATTTAGAAGATACATGGAGCTGGAAGATGGACAAAAAAGGCAGGTTCTCTGTAGCAGCATCATATGCATATTTAATGGAACATAAAATGTTGGCCATGGACATCCCAGAAGGTAGGAACAGAGATGTGCAGGGAGAAATGGCCAGGAGCAGATTATGGAAATTGAAGGTAAAGGACAAGATAAAACATTTCATTTGGAAATGTTGATATGGCACATTACCTGTCAAAAGTAATTTGAGGAAGAGAGGGTTAGATATTGACTACATCTGCCAAACATGTGGTGGGGATACTGAAACAATTGAACATGTATGTTTCCTTTGTCCTAGAGCTTCAAGGATCTGGCAGATGGGGCCTGTCCAGTGGGATGGGATCAATACTGAGCAATGTTACTTCAAGGATTGGTGGATTCAAATCTGCTCAACTAGGAAGGCCGCAATCCATGAAGATAGGATTCAATTTTCTCCCTACCTATTATGGTAGTTGTGGAAAACGCGCAACATGTGGATATTCACGCAAGAATCAACTCTAGAAAGGGTGATCATTAAAAATGCAATGCGAGAATGGTCTGAATTTTCAAAGATCCAAAGCTCTTAGCAGGTTGGGGGTGAGCAGTTTCTGGTATGTGTGATAATGGTTTGGTGTTGCGGCAGTCTTTCTGTTTTTTATTTTGTTGTCTGTTTTTTGTTTTGTTGTCTTGGTCCTTAGTTTGATGCTCTGTTGGTGTTTCCTTGCGGTTCTTATTTCTGGTTTAGCTTGTATTGGTAGTCCTCTGTGTTTGTTTTCTGTTGGGAGGTGTACTAGCTAAGTACTTGATGACAGTAGCTAGTTTATTTGTTTACAGGTTTGGTTATGTAGGCTAAGGGCTCGGTTATTCTGCCTTAGCTACTGTGTGTTTGGTCGAGTGTCTAGGCCGTCTGCGTGCGTGTCCTCTCATTTCAATTTTAGTGGGTGAGTTGGGCAGTTGCCCTTTGTATTCGAACATTTGTTCCCGCGTTTTTTTTCGTGATATAATACCCCCATCGTTCCGGAAAAAAAAAATGTATATCTCCTCCAAATTTTAATTTTGTTTTAAAATAAAAATTGCAAGTGGTTTTATCCAATTTGCACACATTATTGAAAAAAAATTATTCAAAAAGATTGGAAGAATTTGTTAAGAATTATTGTTAAGAATTATACAACTATTTGTTTCCTAAATTTGTATCCAATTTGTATGGTTTGTAAATTAATTTGTATATGAATTTGTTTTCATAAATCATTGGTACATTTTTGTCATAAGAATTTCTAAATTTGTTACCAAGAAAAATGGGATTCAATTTTTTTTTAACAAATAAAAAATAATACAAAATTAATGAGATTCAAATTTTAACATAAAAATC